GGATTGGGCTGTGTACGCGGGAGCGATGCTAGTCTTGGGCTAAGGACAAGGCATGTCCTAAGCCAATCCCCCCAGGGCACGCATGGATTGTGATCCTAAGATGGAGCGCCACGACATGTCTAGGGCCAAGGGCCTAGGCATCTTACGGGCGGCACAAGTTGGGGCGAGCCTACGGGCGAGTCCCACCGACAGGCACAGGATCGTGCTTGAGAAATCCTGGGACAGGAAGAAGGCTGGCCTGCAGCGAGGGGAACTGCAGGCGCCGCACGGGCGAGCAGGTGCCGCTACCCAATGTAAGGATTTGGGCCCGTGACAGTAAACCTTCATAAGTTTTAAAAGTTAATTACGACTAACCGCGATCCTAACAGCTTAATTAATGTGTCCCCGAGGTGTAAACAAAACCATATGAAGGTGGTGAAATGTTTAGGACATGATAATATATGTAAGGTATGGTTTGGGAGTGTTTAGGTGGATAATGGCAAGTGTTACCAAAAGCGAAAAGCGCAAAAAAGCTCGAAGGTCTCATGGGACTTTAAGCGCAAAGCACAAATAAAGGGCGGTTTAATAAAGAAGGGCGCAAATGAAGAAAAACTACAAATATGTATGTGTAGTCCAAGACTAATATCTATAAGCATGATTACCAAATATATGGACAAAGAAATTGAAGAAAATTTACGATAAAGTGAAATATCAATTGTTTAGTAAAGCCTCTTCAGGATGACGCTCATTGGCAAGGAAAAGTGTGCCTTAGTGCCTTGATGACAACACTGAAGCGCCCGCTAAGCGAGGCGAAGCGCTCAACATGTTGTGAGCCTCGCTTTAGGGCTTAAGCGCACTTTAAGCGCGCCTTTGATAACACTCATAATGGTGCAAGGAAAGATCAAAATTGATGAGACAAAGACAGTCCTAGCCATCGCAAGATCATCACGAGAATTGGACCGGGGTAGGCCATATTTCAAAGAAGTGTTTCTAGAGGCAATTATGAACTAATATTATGTTTATGAGATAAATGTTATAATAGGCCACAAGTGCCAATTTATGGAAAACTCTATCCTAAGGCCATAAGTCCATGATAAAATTTTAATAGTTATGAATAGGCTAAAAGTGTCAAATGATATTCTGTAATATTTTGAGAGTAACCTTAGATAACTGAGAGCGTATTTGGATAATTGGCTCAATACCCAGAAACTATATGTGTCGGTGTAGGATTATAGTTTGTAACATTTTCGAATGGCAACTCTATTGTACCACAAGGAGTGGGATATATTTATAGCTTTTTCACGTCGAAAACATATGGCATTACGGTAACGGTTCACTCAATGAAAGGTTTGTGGCATAGTGCGCCAGGTCACGTGCGCATCTAGAATTGGGGCGTGATAACAATTGTATCAACAATGACTAAGCCTTAAACCAAATTAGTTGCTCTTGCTGATATGGATACTTCGCTTTCATTCTGTTTTATAATTTCCTTCATGTGATTTTAGGTCTATCTCATCCTTGTTGAGTCCCATATCCGTGAGATGTGGATTTCTTGGATTCCTTATATGATCTTGGGCAATCCTCACCTCATGATCTACTTTTTGGGATTGAGTTAGACTCAAGGTCCATTTATCATGGTATTAGAGTCAAGGCTCATCCCAATCCATTATTACCGATGTTAGGCCCTCATTTGTTATCCACGCTCCAGATTGCAGGCCTGAGCGTGATGGGAGGTTTTGAGTCCCACATCGGTGGGATGTGGATTTCCTAGGTTCCTTATACCTTTGTACCGTTTGGATTGGCTTATTTTAAGTGCTTTTAAGACAAAATAGCTTTTAAGCCATTTTGTAGTGTTTGGATAAAGTAAAAAAGTGCTTTTAAGAACTTGTTTTTAAGCTAAAATGACAAAAACAATCCAAAAGCCAAAAGCTAGAATTCCTAACTTATGGCTTAAAAGCTATTTTGGCTTAAAAGTCACTTAAAATAAGCCTATCCAAACGGTATCCTTATATGGTCTTGGGCAATCCTCACCTCATGAGCTAGCTTTTGGGGTTGAGTTAGGAAGGTCCATTTATCAATCCTCTTTTAACACCTCCAGCAATCATGTGTCACACCTACAAACCAGTACATTTGGACATGATCAAACTATCTCAAGCAACTTTCTCTTATTTGTTTTCTTATACATGTGTTACTTGCACCTTCTATTGAATATGATCATTTCTAATATAAACTAAGCTAGAATGACCTCACATACATTTGAGCATTTTCCTTTCCAGAACAATCATCTTGTGAAATTTGCTCAGTACGATTTACTCATGAGTTAATTAATAATTTGAATGAATTTCATCTCATTCATGAATCATGCAAAACTACAAGAGACAAAATTGGCAGTATATAAAGATCATGTGTTTTTACCTCAAATGTCAAATACAAACAATTGTGGTCCTCTAAAACCAATAATACAGGACAACGTACAAAAAAATTGTACTTCATCTTGGGGTTTCCTTATCCATATTACATTGCTGGATCTAAGCTCTGTTACAAAGATATACCTGTTTGACTACAACATCTCCAGCTTGTACCTCAACTTTTTGCATACAATCCAATAAAACTTGACACTGAGAATCTGTAAGCTTTCTAAATAGAAAGTGGTCATGCAAAACCCGTTCAATCTGTGCCTGTCATGCAGAGATGATGAAATTACTTTTTATCCATTAGATTAATAAAACTGATAACAATTGAGGAAGTAGGTTATAAGCTTCTTTGGTTAGAACAGAATATCAAAAGGCAACCGATGAAGAAAAAAGGTTACTTCTTCTTCCCATGTCTTTCTATGGGCTGGAGAAGGGGGGGCCCACATCTGCCCATTCTCTAAGGAACTCTCAATAGCACGCAATCGTGCCCGTGATATATCTTGCCTGGCACGTTGATTCCTGGAATTCCAGTTCATAACTGATGGAGATTCTGATCCTGATAATTCAACAACCTGAGGCAATGGTGGTCGTAAAACTACATCAGAACTTGTTGATTGACCAACCGCAACCTGACAACAAAATAGATGTAATAGGTGAATATTTGAATTAAAGAAAGTATAAATATTTTAGAAACAGAGAACGTCAGAGCAAAGAAAACATATTACATCAGTCAATCCGTTGACTTGTACAACTATCACGGTAATATCATCTGTGCGAGTTTCATACTGTAGCCAAAGACGGTATGATTCAGCAACAATTGCAGCACATGCATCACAAGGATCCTTATACTTTGCAACCTACAAGGTCATTCAGTGAATTAGGAATATAAACAGGTAAAAGAAGAAAACAGAGTAGACACCATGATTGTAGCATGTTGTCATTCCCAACTGATCTTAGGAGACCTGTTGAGGTGGAACACGCACAAATATTACAACAGAGAAACATGCATGAGCGCAAACTGGTGTTATACTCCCATGAAAGTTCACTGTAGAGTTTAAATTTTCTTTAAGACAAAACAACAGCAAGAACACTACTCTGTCCAGAAACTTCAATGCAACACAGTATTCGAACAATGATGATTAATATGTGTGTAAGTGCTTACTAATATTGTCATTTGAGGAGAAAAGGTTATAAAAACTGCATCATATTGCAGGTAGTATGATAATAAAAATCTAAAAACCCAGAAACTCTAGATCAAGAGAACAAGTTGATGGGAGAACAGTCCCTACACATGCTCAGTTTCTCTCAGGAAGAAACTCCTGTCTTCTCATGAATTCTCATCTTCAAGGTTCAGATGAGCTCAGCCAGATCACTTGCAAGTTGATGCAAAAATTGATCCTATAATTGATGACCAAAAAGCCCCACAGTCTCTAATAACAAAGTTAACCAAGATAGGACCTTTAGATTGATGGACCACGAATTGGTTTGGTATTAGAAAGTATAGAGACAGGATGCCTCAAACTCAAAGGCTAAATAAAGCCTGTCGGATCTGGAAGATCTTTTTCTCTTAAGAAAATTACCTTAGCATTTTTTGGTTTAAAATTCTCTTAAGGGGATGTTTTCATGCTAGGAGACACGGTGAATGGTAGGGGCAGAGCGCACAACATATTTTTCATCTAGCTTATGGGTTTAAGCGTGCCTGGAGCGAGCCTTGACAACCATGTTAAGTAAGCTTTAAAATGAGCCTTAAATAACACAAATTACTTCATCAAGTTTAACTATTCCTCCAAATCCACATTCTCAAGACTAAGACCTCCTCTGGTGACTGGTCATTGCCATTGCTGATGAATAATTAACCCATGCAAAAAACAGCTATTTTGAAACCCAATGAGATAGAATAAAACTGATTGGAAATCTTTTTTCTTTAGTTGATAAAATAGGGTAATTTTATTAACAAAATACAGCAACGCAATACCAAGAAGGTATTGCCAAAACACAAATGCTCTTAACTCAGCATTCACCTCATGGAGTCTATGAACTCAACAAGGTGATTCATATCTTCTATCCTGGTTTCCTTACTCCATAAGTATAAATTTTGTATATAACTACTGTTAACAAAAGATACTGTTGTTTTTCTCCTTCGAAGCATCTTCTATTTCTTTTCAGCCACATAGTCCACATGACACAAAAAGGAACTCTCCTCCGGATTTCCTGATTGTAAATCTTTTACACTTGAATGAGAACTAAGACATGAATTCTATTACTAACAATTGTTTTGCACATCCCAAAAAGGGATGGCCTGGCCGAAGAGTTGGAATAACAACCTTGAAAAAGAGGTTCGACTCCTAGCAAAGGCAATATAATGTGAATAATTCTCATCTATCTAAACTTTGATGGGCAAAGTTACCCAATACCTGTGGTGGTGGGAGGTAGGAAGAGGTATGCGTAAATTGGCTTTGGCACCACCGTTTTGTATATATGAACACACACACACATTATTGTAATATGTATGTATGTATGTATGTGTGTGTGTGTGTGTGTGTGTGTATATATATATATATATATGCTTGGTACCAAGGTAAACCTTATGGAAAACTGTGCAAGTCTAATTATTATTTTGCAATAGGAAAAACTATTACAAATTTACAACTAGCTAATTTTTGTCTCGTTATATGTTTTAAGGCAATCGTCACCTCATGAGTTGGCTTTTGGGGTTGAGTTAGACCTAAAGTCTATTTTCTTTACAATCTGAAAGAAAACGGTACTACCTTAGGTCCCAAGTCATAAAGGAATCATTTCATGTTAATTGATCAAAGTCCCCTATCAATTCTGGATCTAGTAGCTAGGAAAAGAAGTCATCTCACAAAGCAACAGTTTTGAGCTTTTTGGATTTCTTGGGCGGGTTATGAATATTCGTCAAAGAAATGAAACTCATCTGCTTCCTGCACACCCAATGTCTCACCAATTGTATCTTCCATATAATAAGACGGTCAGATAATTGAGTTGCTGAAATTTGAGAGAAAACTCTGGAGTTTATTTCTCGAAAGTCATTTCTTTATCTTGAAGCCATAACTTCAAGTGGTGGAATTTTGCAAATCTTTATCACCTTGATTGGTGTTTCGGCCTTTAGGCCAAGTTATGGTAGTTGCTGGTTTCTTATCCATTTTTTACCTTTCTTAAAAATGTCCATTTCTAATATGATTTCATCCATCTTTATATTCAACATTCAGAACTTGTTTCCACTTGTTTTGGAGTCACTCCTTGCTTGTTTTGAACGAGTAACTGAGTAAGTAGTTACTTGATAGATCAGAGTCTCATCTTTCACCTCGTTTTGGAATCACTTCATTTTGGGTTCTACAGCCTAACATACATCTGTTCTTGAAATCTAACCATCATCCATTATTTCAACTTAAAGAACTTAATTGTATCATATATCATTTATTTAGAAATTACAATATCAACCAGTCAATCAACTGCGTCTACATTTTCTTTTCTCCATCCTGGAGAAAGCAGTTCAAGAAGATGTTAACCATAAATGAAAATCATTCACGCTGCTTTTATTCTTCTGGACTGCAAAGAAAATGCACGCAGCATAGTCTCAAAAATGCTCTATACTTTTGTTCTCCACTAGCACCCTAAACTAATCACCAGGACTTGATTGGTTCGACACAACACTGATCTTATGTAAAGTTGAAATGCGCACACATGTAAGAGATTCGTTTAACTTTAACATGATATTAGTGGATGTAAAAGACATCAATTAAATAATAGTGGAGTCAGGTGCACGAATAGTGTTTGTGGATGATGTAAAAATTTTAGATGCCCCAAAAAGGAAAGATGTCCCATTATAAGGAAAACATAAGAGTACTTTATGGTAAGATATTTGCTGTCTCCTGTATTATTCCAACATAGATTTGGGAATTGATGTTGTACTAAAGGTTTAAATGAGCTAGCCTTTTGTGGTTAATTGGTAAAAGATAGTTTTGCAAAGCAAAAACTAGAGCTATTTACACAACATACCCAGTATTATCCCACACCGTGGGGTATGGGGAGGGTAGTGTGTACGCAGACCTTACCCCTACCTTGTGAGGATAGAGAGGTTGTTTCCAATAGACCCTAGGCTCGGGAAAGCATAAGCACCACATTAATGAAAATATAGACAAGAGGGGACAGTACCAAAAAGCCATATAAAAGCATAATAAAAACAACAAGATAGTAAGGTGATCAACAATGAAAGAAAACAACGGTGAGTCATAAAAACCTACTACCAACAGAAAGCGAGATTGCGTGCCGATACTACTGTTATGAACACTCTAAACTACCTACTCTACTACCTTAATCCTCGACCTCCATACCTTCCTATCAAGGGTCATGTCCTCGGTCAGCTGAAACTGCGCCATGTCTTGCCTAATCATCTCTCCCCGGCTCTTCTTTGGCCTACCTCTACCTCTCCGTAGGCCCTCCAATGTCAACCTCTCACACCTCCTCACCGGGGCGTCTGTGCACCTCCTCCTCACACGACCAAACCACCTAAGTCGCGCTACCCGCATCTTGTCCTCAATAGGGGCCACACCCACCTTGTCGCGAATAACCTCATTTCTGATCCTATCTAACCTGGTGTGCCCGCACATCCATCTCAACATCCTCATCTCTGCTACCTTCATCTTCTGGACATGAGCGATTTTGACTGGCCAACAATCGGCCCCATACAACATCGTTGGCCTGACCACCACTCTGTAGAACTTACCTTTAAGTTTCGGTGGCACCTTCTTGTCACACAAAATACCGAAAGCGAGTCTCCGTGTAATTCATCCCGCCCCAATATGTGTGTGACATCTTCATCAATCTCCCCATCCCCTGAATAATAGACACAAGGTACTTAAAACTTCCTCTCCTAGGGATGACTTGCGAGTCTAGCCTCACCTCCCCTTCCCCTCCCCTCCTCGAGTCTCGCCACTGAACTTACACTCCAAGTATTTTGTCTTGATCCTGCTCAACTTGAAACCTTTAGATTCCAGGGTCTGCCTCCATACCTCTAATTGCGCGTTCACACCGTCTCGCGTCTCGTCAATCAATACAATATCATCTGCAAATAGCATGCACCAAGGCACTTCCCCTTGGATGTAGTGCGTCAGTACGTCCATCGCCAGAGCAAACAAAAAAGGGCTGAGTTCCGACCCCTGATGCAACCCATCATAACCGGAAAATGGTCTGAGTCCCCAACCACCGTCCTCACTCGAGTCTTTACTCCATCATACATGTCCTTAATCAACCTAACGTAGGCAACAGGTACACCTCTAGCCTCCAAACATCTCCACAAACCTCCCTCGGAACTTTATCGTACGCCTTTTCAAAGTCGATGAACACCATATGCAAGTCATTCTTTCTCTCCCTATACTGCTCCATCAATCTCCTAACAAGGTGGATGGCTTCTGTAGTCGAACGCCCCGGCATAAACCCAAACTGGTTCTCGGAGATAGACACACTCCTCCACACCCTTAGATCTACCACTCTCTCCCAGACTTTCATAGTATGGCTAAGCAGCTTGATACCCTGATAGTTATACCAATTTTGGATATCACCCTTGTTCTTGTATACAGGAACCATCGTGCTCTACCTCCACTCTTCGGGCATCTTCTACGTTCTAAAAATGACATTAAATAATCTAGTGAGCCACTCCAAGCCTGCCTTGCCCGCACTCTTCCAAAACTCCACCAGGATTTCATCCGGCCCGATCGCTTTGCCCCTGCTCATCTTACGCATAACCCCCTCAACTTCATCAACTCTAATCCGCCTACAATACCCAAAGTCACAACGACTCCCGGAGAGTTCCAAATCACCCAGTACAATGCTCCTGTCCCCCTCCTTATTCAAGAGACTATGGAAGCAGGTCTGCCATCTCCGATGGATAAACCCCTTATCCAACAAAACTCTACCCTTTTCGTCCTTGATGCACTTCACTTGGTCCAAGTCACGCGCCTTCCTTTCTCGCGCCTTGGCTCACCTGAATAACCTCTTATCCCCACCTCGGCCCTCGAGTTCCTCATACAAACGACTAAAAGTTGCAGTCTTGGCCGCCGTAACTGCTAGCTTTGCCTCTTTCTTAGCCAACTTATAATGCTCCTTATTTGCCCTTTTCTCCTCCTCGTCTACACTTTCCACTAGATTCAGATACGCTGCTTTCTTGGTTTCCACTTTTCCTTGCACCTCTCCATTCCACCACCAGTCTCCCTTGTGACCACCAGAGTAACCCTTTGAGACCCCTAATACCTCTCTCGCGGCTTCCCTAATGCACCGCAGTCATGGTCCACATAGCTCTTGCGTCCCCACTACTCCTCCAAGCCCCCGTAGTCAACAACTTGACCCCCAACTCCTGCGCTTTAGCTTCCGTCAAGGCTCCCCACTTGATCCTATGTTGGCTATACATCGCCCTCTTCCTCCTCTTCCTCGGACTAGGAGCCTATGAAGGGTCAAGAGGTACTCACTCG